GTTTGGACGACCAGCTTGCTTTGTCTCCTGTGGGCTAGGGGGTAAACTGAGCCACAGGCAGGGAGGGCAGGAGGACTCATTGGTGAAACTACATTGAGACCTTTGCTCATCATGGCAGTGCTGGCTTCCCAGCTAGGGAGCTCATGCGAGTCACCAGACTCTCTGAGACTCAGTTTTCTAATCTGTGGACTGGCATGCTGGTGACCCATGCCACATGGGACTTTGGGGATTCAGTGAGATAATCTCATACACACTTGGGATCAAGTGGGCATATAAGGGCTGCTGGAGACATGAAGGTGGGAGGAGAGAGGATGGAGAATGTCCTAGTTCTCCCCAAACCTTCCCTGGGGTCTAAAGTTGGGGTGTGGAAGCCATAGATTAGATTCATCCTAAACTCATTCTTTGGATCCCTTCTGTAGGAATATGAAAATGGGGGCAAGCCCCTTGGCTCCACCACCCTGACGGGGTACACAGTCCTGACCTCACAGCACAAGTATCTCCGCCTGTTGAATGGCCTCTGCCCAGATCCCTCTGGTGACTCAGGTGAGGCTCCCGGAACCACAGGACTGGGACTTCCCTGCTGCGGCACTGCTGGCGTTTGAGGAGGGTTGTCCTCTGTGCTGGGGCCTCCTGTGTGCTGCAGGGTGTCGAGCAGCGTCCTTGGCCCCCACCCAATGGAGGCCAGTAGCAACCCCTCAAGTCTGAAAACCCAAAGTGTCCCCAGGCTCCAAGTGTCCCCTAGAGACAGAACACCCCTGGGTGAGGACACTGCTCTAGAAACACCCAGGTCACCTGAGCAGAATCAAAATACGCCCCTCCCTCCCCCCCCCCAAAAAAAACCCAACCCTGTTGCTATGGAGTCAATTCTGACTCATGGTAGCCTCATGTGTTCCAGAGCAGGACTGTGGGCCCTGAGGTTTTCTTGGCTGTAATCTTTATGGATGCAGATTGCCAGACATTTCTTCCACATTCTTATGGGTGGTTTCAAACCACCAACATTTATAGGTTAGCGGTTGACCCCCATGCACTACCCAGGGATCTTAGAATCAACGACTCACTGCCATCAAGTCGATGCTGACTCATAGCGACCCCCATTGGGTTTCCAACACTGTAAATCTTTATGGAAGTAGATTGCCCCATTTTTCTTCCAAGGAGTGACTCGTGGATTTGAACTGCCAACCTTCTAGTTAGCAGTCAAATGCCTTAGGCACTGAGCCACCAGAGCTCTTTAAATCAAAAGTAGCAAAAGAATCAAAGTAGCAAAGGGTAAAAACAATAACACATAATGCAAAGTGTGGGAGGCTCTGAGACCACTCTCACTTCTGACACCACTTGCGAGCTCAGGGGTTCCAAGGAGCTTCTCAGGTTTGATGATGCACAGAAAGGACTCAGAACTCAGAAAGGCATTATATGCAGGATTGTGGTTTATTATGTTGAAAGGACACAGACTAGAATCAGCAAGGGGAAGAGGCACACAGGGCAAGGTCCAGGAGAGACCAGCATGAGCATCCAGGTGTCCTCTCCCCATGGGCTGTGTTGATATTAGATGAATGTTGTTGTTGTTATGTGCAGTCAAGTCGGACCTGATTCATAGCGACCCCTCCTTGGGTTTCCGAGGCAGTATCACTACGGAAGTAGATTGCCCCATCTTCCTTCTGAGGAGTCCCACAGCCATCCAGAACGGGGCAGCTGGTGGGACCACCTGCATGGGTATTAAGTGAAGGTTTCTTTGGGTACAAAATGTACTTTAACATTCAACAAACAAAATGAGGAAATGAGTTTATCATCCACAGGTCCTGGAAGGAAGCACGCTTGAGGACCGCTGCACACAACGTTCATATATGTGGGTGCTAATGATGGGGAGAGTCAGGGAGAGAGGGAATGGACCCGGGCTCAGCCTTTCCTGAGGTGTGAGGATGCCGTGCACTTTATTGTACACTTTATTGAGCAGCTTTGGAACTAGTGGCTATGTAAAGGCAATGAATGGGAAACTGGCAGTGAATGGGAAGGGAGCTCTGGTAGCACAGTACCTAAAGCATTTGACTGCTAACCTGAAGGTTGGTTGTTCAAACCCACCAGCCATTCTGTGGAAGGAAGACAGGGCAATCTACTTCTGTAAAGATTTACTGCCTCAGAAGCCCAATGGGGGTTGCTATGAGTCGGAATCCACTCGATGGCAGTGTTTATTATTATTATTATTATTATTATTAGGGGTGCGAATTAAGCAGGGAAGGGCAGGGAATCCTTGTCTGGATTCCCAGATGGGATGTATGGGTGGGGAATGGGAGAAGCAGCTAGGGTAGGAGTTACCTCTGGACTGTTCTCTTGGCTTTGACATGTGGGTATGAGTTGATTAGAAGACAAATAGGTCTGCTGTTTTGAAAGCAGTAATGTTTAAGCAGAGGCTGGAAGAGAAGGGGATGCTAAGATATCAAAAAAAGGGGTTTGGGTTTCTTATGACATGACATGGGGTTGTGGGTAGCACTTACTTCTCCCAGCACTGATGTGTGACGACACACAGGGGCTCTGGCCCACTAGGCATGCTCCTCCGAGCCCTGGTGAGCAGCGATTTTACTGGGGGTCGGTCGTGCAGGCGCAGCGGGAGGCTCATCTCCTAGTGCCATAGTGGACAGTATTCCCTAGTGACCCATAGGGTTTCCATCGGCTTAGTTTTGGAAGTATCACACCAGGCCTTTCTCCCTACACTGTCTTAGTCTGGAAGCTCCACTGAAGCTTGTCCACTGAGGGTGATCCTGCTGGCACTTGAAACACTGGCAGCATGCTTTCCAGCAACACGGCAGCCAGTGAAACACAACAAACTGACAGACGGGTGACTGAGAATTTCAAAACTAAACTAAACCAAAACCAAAACTCACTGCCATGGATTCCAACTCATTGCAACCCTATAGGACGGAGTAGAACTTCCCCATAGGGTTTCAAGGCCATTAATATTTATGGAAACAGACTGCCACATCTTTCTCCCATGGAGTGCCTGATGGATTCGAATGGCTGACCTTTTGGTTAGCAGCTGAGCATTTTAACCACTGCACCACCAAAGCTCCTTTGACTCCATTTGACTAAGGCTTTAAAAACCAAAAACCAGACTTACCACCATCAGGTCAATTCTAACTCATAGCGACCCCCATTGGGTTTCTAAGGCTGCAATTCCTTAGGGAAGCAGATTGCCTCATCTTTCTTCCACGGAGTGGCTGGTGGGTTCGAACCACTGACCTTTTGGTTAGCAGCCAAATGCCTTAACCACTATACCACCAGAGCTCCTTAAGGATTTAAAGGACCCCAAATAAATTAATCAAAAATAAACTCACTTGTGTTGTTTGCCCAACAGCTCAAGGTGGTCCATATCACTATTAACCCCATTTTACAGGCAGGAAAATTGAGGTCAAAGAGATGAAAAAAGTGTGCCCTAGGCACAGAGCTCCAACTCATCTGTCAGTTTGTCATCTTGTAGTGGCTTGTATGTTGGTGTGATGCTGGGAGCTATGCCACCAGTGTTTCACATCCCAGCAGGATCACCCAGGGTGGACAGGGTTCAGTGCAGCTTCCAGACTAAGACTTGGAAGAAAGGCCCAGTGATCTCCTTCCAAAAACCAGCCAATGAAAACCAACCTTATGGATCACAATAGAACATCGGCCAATTCACTTGCTTTGGACATAGTATCAGGAGGGATCAATCACTGGAAGAGGACATCATGTTTGGTAACGTGGAGGGCCAGTGAAGGTGAGGGAGATCCTCAGTGAGACCAAAATAAACCAAACCAAACCCACGTCGATTCTGACTCATAGCGACTCCCGTTGGGTTTCTGGGTTTCTTTACAGAAGTAGATTGCCTCATCTTCCTCCTGTGGAGTGGCTGGTGGGTTTGAACCACTAACCTTCTGGTTACTAGTTAAATGCCTTGGACACTGTGCCACCAGAGCTCCTTCCTTGGTGAGGACTGGCAAACTAGCCACAATGATGGGCTCGAACATACTGGCAACCTGAGCATGACAAGCAAGACCAGGCAGCATGTCATTCTGTTATACATAAGGTCACCATGAGCTGGCAACAACTCAGTGACGACTATCTATCTCTTTCCAAGTGTAGTAAGTGATGTCCTGCCTCAAACCTGGGCCTAGCTGACTCCTTTTAGCCATCAGGTGCGGACAAAAGTCAGGGTTTATGTCCCAACTTGGGTTGATTGGTGATGTCTGCCTAGGGTTCTGTGTTGATGATACTTAGCCTGGGAAACAATGCAGGGATGGATTAGTGATGTCTGCTTTGGGCATATGCTAGAGGAATATGGTTCACTGTTCTTCAGGACTGTGCCCAAGCACAGTACTGCTGGAATAATGATAATGGCAGCAATAATTACGATAGTTCATGCCATGCCACGAGCAATGGCCACACCAGGGGCTGCTCTAAACATTTCATGGACATTTTCTCCTAGTGAATGAGTGATGAATTGTAGAACAAATGAATGAAAACATGATCATTTTCTTTCTGCTTTCAGGAGACCATGCACAGGAAGAGCCCCACCCCCTTCTGGACATGCCCAAGAGCTTCCCCCTCTTCCTGCAACACCCTTTTCGTGGGCATCTTTGTTTCTTCGCAGTCACCAGGGAAGCGCAGTGCGCCTGGAAACTGGCCCTCCAGGGTGGCATCCGGCTTCGTGGCACTGGTGGGTCCTGGCGGGGCTAGGCAGTGGTGCAGCTCAGGCTCCGAGGTTGCGTGTGCCCTTGCTGGTTGTGGAAATCTTTCCAAACTGTGGTTTACTTATCTGTAAAGTGAGTTGTTGGGAGATGCAGAGAGGACACCAGACAGCCTGGAGTAGTCAGGACTGTGATGGGGACAGTACTATGGGAGCCCATTCCTGGGGTCAGGTAGGGCTTCCCAGAGGTTGAAGCTAGAGCCTGAAGAAGATGAGAGACCAGGACCCTGGAGAAGGGAAACAGGACTGACACTGCGTAAACAAGTTGAATTCAGAGGGGGCGGGTTTCAATCCTTCTAGGCCCCACCCACCAAGCCCCGCCCCCAGGAGGCTCCACCCATTCTCTCAGGCCTCCCACACTCTCCCAGGTCCCACCAGTAGCTGACCACGGGTGGCAGTGCCTTTTTTCAACTGGTACAAAGGCGCCTCATGGGCGAGTCGTGATCCTGGGGGCAGGTGGGGTCCCAGCAGAGGGCCCTGTCAATACAAAGGCGCAGAGATGGACAGGATTCGGGTGTTGTGGGACGTGGTGGGGCGGAGGGGGAGAAGAAGGTAGGTGGAGATGGGAGGCCTCTCGGAGTACTAGGGAGCCCCTCAGTCCTGCAGCGGAGTCCGGCCCCCGCTGCCCGGGCCTTCCTGGACGCAGTGCGGCAGTACCGACAGCTCCAAGGCCACTTTGGCGACGACGATGTGACTCTGGGCTCGGACGCGGAGGTCAGTCCCTTCCTGCGCTCCTGCGCCCCGAACACCCAGGCTCCACCCGGCCCCCGCCTGGCCTCCACAGCCCGGTCTCCCGCAGGTGCTGACCGCAGTGCTGATGCAGAAGCTGCTACCCGAGCTGAGCGCCCAGACCCAGCCGGGCCTGCGGGGGGCCGGCCACGCCCGCGCCTGGGCCTGGACCGAGGTAAGGCGGGGTGGGAGCCACAAGGAGAGGGTGCCGGGTCGGGCCGCCCAGGATCTCCCTCCCCGCCTCAACTTGCTCCCGGTCTCTCCTGTTGTATCTCCCTGTCTGTCCTGTCTCTCCATCTCCCCGTCTCTTTCTGCCCCCTCTCCCCGGCTGTCCCTCGCGATCCTGGCCCATGTGGGTCCCCGTGCTGGGTCCTGCAGCTTCTGGACGCAGTCCACGCCGCCGTCCTGGCCGGGGTCTCTGCGGAGCTTCGCGCTTTCCAGCCTGAAAAGAACCAGCTGCTGGCCACTCTGGAGAGGGCCATCCGTCCCGACGTGGACCAGACACTGCGGCTTCGGGCGCGGGTGGCGGGAAGGCTGCTAGGTGAGGCAGGGGCGAGGCCTGGAGGGAGGGTCTGGGCAAGAGGATGAAAGGGGAGGAGCCTGGATGCGGGGCGGGACCAGAGAAAGGAATCGGTCTAGTCCGGAGGGAGAGAGGGTAGGTCAGGGCAGAGGCGGGGCCTTCCTGGACTGGGTCAGGGAGGGGCGGGGCCGGTAAAGAAAGGGGTGAGAGGCCTGAGAAAAGGGGCAGGAAACCTGAGGGGAAGGATGGGAGCACGGTTTTGGGGAACGATGAGGGAGCAAAAGGGAAATGGCGGGGCGGGAGGATGAGGCAGGCCTAAATGGGAATGGGGCATGGCTGGGCCGAGAGACGAGGCTAGGGGCGGAGTTGGAGATCTAGGGCAGGGTTGTGGGAAGGGGTGAGGCCGGATGAGGGAGGGGCAGAGGAAGCGGGGCGGGTGTGGGTGGGGTGGGGCCGTCCAGATCGCAGACCCTAATAGCCCCTCAGACCCTGATAGCCCCTCGATTGAATTCGGGCTCTGTGCTCCGGGGCTGTGAGCCTTTGGGCTGGTCCTCAATTTCCTCACCTGTAAAATGGAGTGAAGGCGGGTGTTCAACTTGTGTTCCGTTCTACATTGGCCTGTTGATCCGAGATGGCCCTGTTCCCACCATTTGCCCGGCCACTTCATGGAGGGGACCCCAAGCCCGTGTCTTCTCCCCCAGCTAAGGTCCAGGGCCCCCTCGAGTCGTGCCTGCGCCGGGAGGTTGGTGTACAGCTGGCTCGGGTCACGCAGACGCTGCAGAGCACCGTGGGGACCTCACTGGCGGCGGTACAGACCCTCCTTGCTCACGGCATCGAAAAACTGTTTCACCATCTCCGTGGGAGCCGCTCCGGCGCTCGGCTGAGCAGGGAGGTGAGCTCCCACGAGCAGGGCAATGCATTACCTAAACGGAAAAGTTGCAGGAATCTTGCATCTTTCTGTTTACAAATCTCTGAAATTTGTTCTAGGCTGCTTTTTACTTATAGAGGAACTTGCATTTCTCTCCTCTACTCTTGTTATGGTCATTGGGCACCGTTTAATCTCGGTAGGGGGAGGAGAGGCATTTTAGCAAAAACTCTCTGGTGTCATCTTCCCCTATACTCCTCTTCCCAGTCCCCAACTTCAGCAACAGGGTCAAACCCAAAGCCAGAAAATTCTGTCCAATGCAGGTCGACTCAGTTCATCTGATATTAAATAAGCACCTACTATTGAGCAATCTACTTCCCTAGAGATACCACCTGGGAATCCCAAGGAGGGGTCACTATGTGCCAGACAAGGAGCTCTGGTAGTGTACTGCCTAAGGCATTTGACTGCTAACCAGAAGGCTGGTGGTTCAAACCCAGCAGCCTCTCTGTGGGAGGAAGACGGGGCAATCTATTTCCGTAAAGATTTTACCATCTTGGAACTGTGAGTCTGAATTCACTAGATGGCAGTGAGGTTGTTTTTTTTTTTCTTTGTTTCTAATGTGCCAGGCAACCTTCAGCTCCTCGTTAGATCTGTTATTAGATCTCCATTTCATAACCACCTTCTCCAAGAACTTTCCTTCAATCACTTTGCTCTTCCAGCTGCCCATCCTTCCCACATCACAGCAGCATTTACACACTTCTGTAGTTGTTTGTCTGCAGTCTGTCTCCTTCAACTTGACCCTGAGCTCCTTGTAGGCAAAACCAGGGTTGCATTATTCCATTTCTGTAGCCCCATAGCCCAGCACAGAGCCAGCATCAGGCCATGTTCAGTAAACACCATAGGACTGTGTGTCTCTTTTCCCTCCATGGCACCAGCACTGAGTCTTATCATTTTTTCAGTGTTTCCTTTTTTTTTTTTTTTAAGGTGGTGAAAACATACACACCAAAATATCATCCAACACAACAAGTTCCACACTTACAGCTCAATGACACTAATCACATGTTTCATGTTGTGCCACGATTCTTACTCTCCTCACCCAGAACATTCCACTGATGTTAGCGTACACTCAGTGCTCCTGTTTTTGGAGGGCTGGAACAGGTAGGGCAGCCAGGAAGCGAGAGTAGAGAAGTTTGGAACAATTAAGGGAGATGAACTGGTCTGTCAGTTTGTCGTCCTGTGGTGGCTTCTGTGTTGCTATGAGGCTGGAGGCTATGCCACCAGTGTTTCAAATGCCAACAGGGTTACCCGTGGTGGACAAGTTTCAGTGGAGTTTCCAGACTAAGACAGACTCAGAAGAAGGCAGAGGCCGTCTACTTCTCAAAGAATTGGCCAGTGAAAATGTTATGAATAGCAATGAAGTACTGTCTGATATAGTACTGAAAAACTTGATGAATATCCCTGAAACATTGTTCAATATAGTGCCAGAAGATGAGCTCATCAGCTTGGAAGGCACTCAAAATATGACTAGGAAAGAGCTGCCTCCTCAGAATAGAGCTGACCTTAATGATATGGATGGACTTATGCTTTCAGGACCTCCCTTTGCTTATGTGGCATGACCCAAAACAAGAAGAAACAGCTGCAAACATCCATTAATAATCAGAACATGCAATGTATGAAGTGTGAATCTAGGAAAATAGAAAGTTGTCCAAAATGGAATGGAAAGCATATTGATATTCTAGGCATCAGTGAGCGAAATGGACCAGTTTTGGCCATTTTAAATTAGACAACTATATAATCTACTGTGCTGGGAATGACAAATTGAAGAAGAATGGTATGGCATTCATCATCACAAAGAATGTTTCCAGATCTATCTTGAAGTACAATGCTGTCAGTGATAGGGTAATATCCATATGCCTATGAGGAAGACCAGGAGCTCTGGTAGCATAGTGCCTAAGGCACTTGACTGCTAGCCAGAAGGCATATAACAACAACAACAACAACATGAGGAAGACCAGTTAATACTGCTATTATTCAAATTTATGCACCAACCACCAAAGCCAAAGAGGAAGATTTTTACCAATTTCTGCAGTTTGAAATTGACCAAACATGTGACCAAAATGTGTTAATTATCACTGGTAATCGGAATGCAAAAGTTGGAAACAAAAAGAATCACTGGTAGTTGGAAAATATGGCTTTGGTGATAGAAATAATGCTGGAGATCCCGTGATAGACTTTTGCAAGACCAATGACTTATTCATTGCAAATACCTTTTTTCAACAACACAAACGGCACCTATACACGTGGACTTCCCCAGATGGAGTACACAAGAATAAGATTGACTACGTCTGTGGCAAGAGGTGATGGAGAAGCTCAATATCTTAGCCAAAACAAGGCCAGGAGCTGAGTGTGAAACAGACCATCAACTGCTCATATGCAAGTTCAAGCTGAAGCTGAAGATAATTAAAAGAAGTCCATGAGAGCCAAAACATGACCTTGTAATTTCCCTCCTGAATTTAGAGACCATTTAAAGAATAGATTTGATGCATTGAACACCATTGACCAAAAACCAGAAGAACTGTAGGATTACATCAAGATCATCATCCATGAAGAAAGCAAAAGTTCATTAAAAAGACAGGAAAGGGAGAAAAGACCAAAATGGATGTCAGAAGAGACTCTGACACTTGCCGTTGAATGGAGAGTAGCCAAAGCAAATGGAAGAATCGACAGGATAAAAGAGCTGAACAGAAGAGTTCAAAGAGCAGCTCAAGATGACAAAGTCAATTATTACAATGAAATGTGCAAAGAGGTGGAGTTAGAAAACCAGAAGGGAAGAACATGCTCAGCATTTCTCAAGCTGAAAGAACTGAGGAAAAAAATTAAGCCTCAAATTGCAATATTGAAAGACTCCATGGGCAATATGTTGAATGATGGAGGAAACTTCAAAAGAAGACAGAAGGAATATACAGAGTCACTGTACCAAAAACAGTTGATAGATGATCATCCATTTCAAGAGGTGGCATATGATCAAGAACCAATGGTAACGAAGGAAGAAGTCAAAGCTTCACTGAAGGAATTGGTGAAAAACAAAGCTCCAAAAATTGATGGAATACCCATTGAGATGTTTCCACAAACAGATGCTGTGCTGGAGGCACTCACTTGGCTGTGCCAAGAGATTTGGAAGACAGTTACCTGGCCAACTGACTGGAAGAGATCCATATTTGTACTCATTCCAAAGAAAGGTGATCCCACAGAATGTGGAAATTATCAAACAATATCATTGATACCAAAGCAAAAGACCAAACTCACTGCTGTTGAGTCAGATCCAATTCAAAGCGACCCCTCCTTGGGTTTCTGAGGCGGTATCACTATGGAAGTAGATTGTCCAACCTTCCTTCTGAGGAATGGCTGGTGGGTTTGAACCACTAGCCTTCTGGTTAGCAGTCAAGTGCCTTACGTACCCTGCTACTAGAGCTCCTCGAAGGGGATGTGAAGGGAGGGATGTTGTTGTTGTTAGGTGCCGTCGAGTCATTTCCAACTCATGGTGACCCCACACACGAAACACTGCCCGATCCCACACCAGATCCATGATCCCTGCTATATTTGAGCCCATCATCACAGCCACCATGTCAATTCATCTCGTTGATGGCCTCCC